TGGATGAATCTGTTCAAACATGATCTGTATAGCATGCTGTGTAATCAAGACCAGCATCAGTACGGTACAGATAATATAATGTGGTCAGAACAGGTCACTGTATGAGAGATAAAGAAACGTCATCGCTCGGCCCGAGGAGCGACGTAGGGCTCAATATGGCTCCAGTGGACCCTGGGTCAAAGGAAGACTCTGTTTTGAGGATTTGTAAGAATTCAAACTTCTCTGTAGCTGATTCTAATTCTGAAAGATTCTGTAAAAGAAAAGAACACAACTATAATTTCAAAAACATTGATTGAGGTCATTGATTGAGAACCTTGCTGTTGGTTGATGTAGTGTTTAAAACGCTGTTAGCGCTGTTAGCGCTGTTAGCACAGGAGTACTATTACCTGGAGGCTTCTGGTAATCTGGGAATGACCCCCCAAACACCCGTTATTGGTGCGACCTCTGTGTCTGCTGACATGAACTCGTTAATCTGGATGTAGGTAACCCCGGATGTTTTTACTTTACAGACATGGTCGATTCACATGGGATAAAAAACATAGGCAACCATCCAATCTATAACAAATGACAAATAAAGAGAATTTGTCCTGTGCAGCAAGGATAAGACATTTTTTAAAGCGACAGGAGCAGTTTAGAATTATGTCAAATAGCGGTCCACTTCCTTCTTTGAGCACGTACGGTACAGTACCCGAGTACATGACGTTTGTGTTCACACTGATCAAATGAACCAGACTTTGGGGTCTTAGGTTCTTTGATCCAGTCCTTAATGTGAAACCACCCAAAGAGAGGGATTTAAAGATATATATTTTTTGGCTTTTTGTGCCTTTAATAGAGAGACAGGACAGTGGATAGAGTTTGAAATTCTACAATTCACTTAGCAGACGCTTTTATCCAAAGTGACGTAAATCCGAGAGTAAGTACAACACAAGCAAGGATCTAGAAAAAAGGGAACAATGTCAGTAAGAGCAAACGATCAGCTTTGAGTCCGATTGGACACACAACCATCGTCATTACCATCATCATCATCAATAATATGGAGACCATCATCATTAAGTTAGTAGGTATTCGTGAAAGAGCTGGGTCTTTAGCTTTTTCTTAAAGGTGCAGAGGGACTCTACAGATTGAATGGAGTTTGGAAGTTCATTCCACCACCAGGGGGCGACAGAGGAGAAGAGTCTAGTCAGCGTCTTAGGACCCTGTTGTGAAGGTTGGATCAGACGCCTTTCATTGGCAGAGCGTAGTGGGGGGGAGGGAGTGTAGACCTGGATGAGAGAGTTAAAGTAAGGAGGAGCCGTTTTAGTCGCTGTTTTGTAAGCGAGCAGCAGAGTTTTAAATTTGATGCGAGCAGTAACTGGGAGCCAGTGTAAGGAGATGAACAGCGGAGTGACATGTGCTCTTTTAGGAGGGTTGAAGACCAGTCGTGCTGCTGCATTTTGTATCATCTGCAGAGGCTTGAAATCAGAGAGAGAGAGTGGGGATTGACATGCAGGAAAGGAGCCACAGGTCGGATTAGAACATGGGCCGCCCACTTGGAGGAACATACAGTACCCTCTATACATGGGGTGGACGCACTAACCACTACGCCACCGACGCCCCAGCAAAGAGTTGGATTTGAGATTGTATTCTTTAGAGTCTGTGTGATACTGAGAGTGACGACAGGGTGAAGAGGGAAAGGGAGGAGAAGGTAACGGAGACACAGAGGAGGGATGTAAGTATGCTGTAAATCTGTAGATATGAGAGGAAGGTGGAGACAGAGGATGTGAGACAAACAGGAGATTCAGCTGAGAGAGAAGGAGAAGAAGATTTCCTTTAATAATCCAAGGAGGGGAAATTACTTTTACTCTCTGTTATTGAGAAATGCTGCACACGCGCTCATGAAGTGAATGGGCATCTCTCCAGCTACCAGACCAATTTCCAGACATGGTTCGCACCGGGACTTGAACCTGCGACCCTCCAGTTCCCTACAGGCTGAGCTTCTGCCAAAAAAAGGAGGATGGCTTGAAAAAAAGTGAATTATGAAGCAGTCTCAATAGGCCAGATAATCAGCCGAGTGTGCACGCTCAGGTCAGGGAGGGGTGAGGTGGGGATGCTGGGAGGGGCTCAGGTGCACCGCGGTGATGCGGGTTGAAATCCGAGCCACTACGTTTTCGGGTCATCCTCCTTCTGTCAGCACCATGTGCTGCCTAACAAAGCAGAAATGTGCAGAACGATGGGGAGACACTGAAATAGGTCAAGTGTGGAGAAGGGGGGGGGGGGGGGAGAGAAAGTTTCCAGGCATAAAGGAGGAGAAAGGATTGGATGAAGGAGGAGAAAAAGATGTAGTCTAAGTAGAAAGGTGGGCGGTCATGAAAAATTAAGTGAGAAAGGTAAAGCGAGGAGGAACACTCTCTAAAATGGAAGACAAGTAAAGCCAGGTCAGCCATATTAGCAGCCTTCAGTGACCGCAGATTGTTGCCTAGCAGCATGCAAGAATGTTTCCTCCTCTCCCTCCTACTACTCTTCTCCTTCTGCTTGTCTCCTATCTCTCTCCTCCTCGCTCCATCTCTACTCTCCTTTCCACAAGGATCTGTCCACTCTGCTTCCCCTCTTTAAACCAGACCAGTGCTGCCTAATGTGTGTGTGTGTGTGTGTGTGTGTGTGTGTGTGTGTGTGTGTGTGTGGGTGGGTTGGTGGGTTCGGGTGTGTGTGTGTGTGTGTGTGTGTGTGTGTGTGTGTGTGTGTGTGTGTGTGTGTGTGTGTGTGTGTGTGTGTGTGTGTGTGTGTGTGGGGCAGATTCCTCCTGACAAGCCTTTCATCAGTGAGTAAAGCTGTTACACCAGCTCTGGGCTGCATCAGGATTACACTGCACATGTGAAGCCCGTGTCCTCCAACGCCGGGTCCAAAACAGGACGACACATGGCTTCAAGCATGCAGAGAGAGTGTGTGTGTGTGTGTGTGTGTGTGTGTGTGTGTGTGTGTGTGTGTGTTCGCTCCTTTGATGTAAGGTACAGGGTCATTTTCTTGAATCAAGCTGCTCCAGTGTCTCTAAAGGAGCGTTACTGTAACTCCACTCACAGTAACTACTGTATCTACATTTACAGAAACTTAATTTAGCCGACAACCACATGACACTTTGTGTATTGACGTTTATTCTACGTGCGAGGCTCACAGAAGCATACTGGACTAAATGATATCACACAGAGTAAGGCAGGCAGCCTTAAGCCTGACTCTGTAGGACCAGTTAACCCCTAACCTAGTCCCTCTCTATAGGTGATGAATTCAACATGAAGGTGCGACCTGCCTTACCTGGATGTGGGTGACTCTCCTGTCTGTTAGGGGGGGTGCGTGTTGATGACTCAGAGACAGCGGCTGTGATCTCCTCGGCCTGTGCTCTCTCGTTGGATGTTGATGTTTGTAAGGTTGTGCATCATCTCTAGTTCATCTGTCTGCAGCATCTCACTTCCTAGTGTCTTCCTCGTGGCCCCCACCTCCCCCCTCAGGTGTGACATCAGTACTGCTGCTCCACCCACTAACCACACCCACTGCTGAAGACACTGAAGTGAATCCTCCTCTTGAATTATCACGATGACAAACAGGGCAGCTGTTGTATAAATGTTTGTCTTGGTTATTTTTTTAAAAGCGATTAAGATGCTCATTATTAACACTCATTAGAAATATCACTTCTTATTTCATTTATAAATTTACCCTTCAGTTCAGAAACAGAGACTGGAGCAGACATGCAACAGGAGGGAACTTCATTCGTATCTAACTGCATGAGTGGGATTCACTCCCCAGACATTCAACACCAGAGAACAATCAAACTTTAAATGTGTGTTAAAGCTGCACCTGCTGACAGAACACCTCAGGTACACTTTGAGATCTGACTGAGAAGAATCTGGAATCTGAGCGGAGGTCTAATGGATCTGAAGGTTGACATGTTTGTAGAGAGGGTCAGTGTGTGTGTGTGTGTGTGTGGTCACAGTAAATGCGTGTGTGTGTGTGTGTGTGTGTGTGTGTGTGTGTGTGTGTTTGTGTGTGCGTGTGGGTGTGGGTGTTTGTGTTTGTGTGTGTGTTTGTGTGTGTGTGTTTATGTTTATGTGTGTATGTTTATGTGTATGTGTGTGTGTGTGTGTGTGTGTGTGTGTGTGTGTGTGTGTGTGTGTGTGTGTGTGTTGTGTGTGTGTGTTTGCGCGTGTGTTTATGTGTATATATGTGTGTGTTTATGTTTGTGTGTATGTGTATGTGTGTGTGTGTGCTTGTGTGTGTGTGTGTGTTTATGTTTATGTGTGTGTGTGTGTATATGTTTGTGTGTGTGTGTGTGTATATGTTTGTGTGTGTGTGTGTGTATATGTTTGTGTGTGTGTGTGTGTGTATATGTTTGTGTGTGTGTTTGTGTGTGTGTTTGTGTGTGTGTGTGTTTATGTTTATGTGTGTGTGTGTGTGTATATGTTTATGTGTGTGTGTGTGTGTGTGTTTATGTTTATGTGTGTGTGTGTGTGTGTGTGTGTGTGTGTGTGTGACTATGCATGTCATATTAACTGTAAGCGTTTGAGTTCATATTTATAATCACACTGTGTTCAAACTACTGACAGTCTATTATCGACTGTACATGAACAAATTTAATTTCTTTACATGAGTCCTGGTCTCAAGTCTTTGAGGGTGAGTCCAAGTCAAGCTTTTAGGGCGCACTCACACTATGCTAAGTTGTCCTGTACCGTTCTTAAGTACGATCAAACTGGAGTCCCCATCACGGCCTTAAGTGTGTTAGAGAAAGGTTGCAGAATGTGATCAGAATAAATGACGGGCGTTTTAATGCACTGCACAAACACTGGCTATTACTCAACATTTAGTATAAAACATTTATAAAACTCACATTGTGCTGCAGCCCTGTGTCAGTGTCGTCCTTATCGAAGAGTCTCAGATTAAAAGAGAGCAGGTGTGACATCACTCAGACTTAACCGCAAGTCAAAGCTTTTTTTCATAACGATGACAAAAGTATTGCATGTTTCTTTGTTTTGCAGGAGGTATGCCAGTGCCTGAGGTGGCGTCTGACACTGCCAGCGCTGCCGCCATGTTGAGCCCCGTCCTCAACGCCTCCAACGGAGACGGTTCCGAGTCCGAAACCACCTCCGCCATCCTCGCCTCCGTCAAGGAACAGGTCAGTGCTGTCTGAAGGTGTAGGCTTGTCAGAATGGATGAAATGTGAATAATTCCCGCTCAGGGTGACAATAATAAAATTATGGAATCATCTGAGCTAATGTGTCACAAACATGTCGCCACATTTTCATCTGTTATCTGGAAGCCCGAGGCCGCAGCAGCTCCGAGTAATTTTGTGCTCATAATGTGGGCGGCGTCCTCTTGCTTCATCTTCGTCAGAGTCGGAGCAGATATGTTGGCGGTACTTTGCATGATGAAAGGAACAAGACAAAACTCATACCTTCAATTAGTGTTTGAGCTCGGAGCGTTTTAATCACGGTTTGATCGTTCATGGCTCTCGCTGTCTTTCATTTTTGACTCAACTCGTTGTCTTAAATACTGTTTGGTCTTATGAAGATTGTTCCCACATTTACACGTCTGTCTGTCTCTAATTGGAGATGTTTAGACACGTGCATTAAGCAGACATATTTATGAATCTAAACAGATATCTTAAAGCAGTATAAGCACATTGTTTGGAAGCATACTGTCTGTTGGCTGTTACCAGTTTGTAATAACTGACCAATCAGGATCATTTGGCTCTATATTTAAGTCTGTGTGGGGAGCAAAGAGAATCATTTAAAGACGACTCATTTGTCTTTTTAGAAGAAGTTACCTTTTCATAGAGATTAGCAGAATATGTTATCTTTGAGCAACAGATCCATGTTGCTTTGTTAAATATTTGAACTGTAAAGAAAGCTCATAATCACTTATTTCATTGTGATAAGTAACTTTCAACTTTTAAGGTGACATAGCCTCCTCCTCTGGTTAAACTGGTTTAAATAAGTCTCAGAGCTCCCCAAAACGTGTGTGTGAAGTGTCTTGTTCTAAATCCACTCTGATCCTGTATTTGATCATGTCTATAAACCCCTCTATTTCAGCCCTGCTCAGAACAGGCTGTTTCTGTGTCTGTACCTTTAAATATTTAAATGAGCTGTGTCTGACCACGCCCCCTCTCTGGAAGGGCTTGGGTGTACTCTGTCTTTCTCGCTCCATGTCCTATTGTTTACGGTGAGAAGGCAGACTCAGAGGGCAGAACAAGCACCTAGCTGTGGGAGTGTCACCCACCTGGGGGAGGGGTTACTGCCCTTTGTGATGTCATGAAGGGAAAATCTCCAAACGGCCTGTTTGAGCACACATTTTCTGAAAAGTGGAGCAGGCAGAAGATGGACTTTTCTCATCATTGGGGGGTTTGTAGACAGACTAGCACAGGGAACAGGAACAGTGCTCTAGGAACTACACTGTGCCAGACCCCCCCGGCCTGTTCGATGGCCACGTCTGGCCCATGTATTTGAAACACAAGAACATCAGGAAACAATCTCTTCTTCATCTTCTTTTGGACTTAAAGGCTTTATATGTGATTTTTCACACTTAAATGTAGAAATCAAGTATATCCTCTGAAAATAACTCTTTGAGTCATGACTGTCTACAATGGGTGTAACACCCGAGTCCTATCTTCACTTTGTTTACATCGGTGGGACGGCCGACCGGGCTCATCCCCTCCTGTATAAAAGTTGTTTAATTGAGGGACTAGAGAAAAGAAGAATAACATACTGTACTCACTGCTTAACTGTGTTTCTAGATCACGCTCATTTCAGGTAAATTTACATGCAGTGTGAAGATACGAGCATAATAAAGATCACTAGCATTAGCATGCTAGCACAACAATGCAGCGCAAGTTGTTTTGGTTTCATGCTGGTGCTCAAGGGCGACATCTGCTGGATCAAAAAATTGCATATAAAGTCTTAAATGGTGGGTGGTATACTAGTTAAGATAGCTGCCACTTAGGGTTTTTGGTGGGAATAAACGACCCTACAAGTTACTAAAGGGGACTTTTGAAGACCGTTGATGCGGTCAACATTTTTGAGATGCAGTCGCAACCTAATTTCAGTCAACCCAAAAACAGGCAAAGAGCTAGAACTGAGGCAGGTCTTAAGCCTCCTAACAAACAGCTACACCGGGCCAACATGTCAATCAGCTCCGGCACGCCCCCTTATGAATAAAAAAACTCTTATCCTTGATAAAACAGTGTTTGATGTAAAAACATGCTTTTTAGAATGGGTGTGTATGTGACTTCCTGTGCTTCTGCAGCCAGCCTCTAGTGGACACTCTGGCAACTGCAGGATTTTTCACTTCTGCATTGTCTTTATTTTCCACATGCAAGGTAGCTGCTTGCTACCGACCCAATGGCCTCAGAGTATCTTACTAAATATTCAAGTCAAGTCATTGCAGATCTTTGTGTTCATTGTATGTGGTCATGTTGTTTATTATTTATTGTGGACTTTTAAATCTGCTATCCTAAATATCGCTTTACGATGCGGCAGCAGCAGTCCATCTTTTCGGTTCAATCAGTTGACGGTTCCTTTGTAATCATTTTCTTACTGTATTTTTTTATCTTAAATAAGAACACCATACATACTGCATGAGCCACAACAGACAATACCAAGCCGTCTTTTAAATTTGTATAGGCACAGAAATATATTTAACACCACTCTGGAGCTTCGCCCCAGAAAAGAAACAAAGGTTTCATTTTGTTGCTGAAAGAAAACATCCTACAATCTGAAGGATTTATCCTCAAATAGCTGCAGATCACTGTTTGCACACTGATAAAGCTGTTTGGAGACTCTTGATATTTTTATGAACTGACTTGATTGTCAAATGTTACCCGGCGATGAGCAAAAGACAGCTAATCAATACTCTGAGCGGCTTTCACTTTATCCTTCATTCAATCTGACAATATGTCAGATTTCTCAAAGAGGCACATTTCACATTGGTATGAAACTCTTTCAGAGCAGACACTTCACACTGCGCTCCCCCATAGCAGATGTGTCCACAGCAGAGATGATGAATGACACGCAGACAAAAGCTGACAGATGTGATAAATACAACGTCCAGTGGCTAATCAATCTCATGTGGGCCGAAGGAAACGGGGGAAAACAGCAGCAGGGATCTCCTGGTGTGAGTCAGCAGAGGCCAAAGAGTCTGATTGGCAGCATGTACAGACGTGTGTGTGGCTGCACACCGCATGTGAGCACGCCTGTGTATGGCTGTGTGTGTGAAGCCTTTTGGTGGTCCCTCATGCCCGACCTTGTCTTTATGAAGCTAAATGAACAGGAAGCTGTGTGCAGGCTGCTCCTTTCATACAGCCTGCTTACAAACACTGGCAGCAGCCCAAACATATTGAAAAATGACACAATGTGCAAAACAAGTATGAGAGGAAGTGACAAATGACTGGCTTAAAAAATAATAATAACTTCACTGTGGTGCAGGGGCGTGAAATATAACGTCTGCAGACAGAGGAAGAAAAAGAGCTAGAGGAGACTATCCGTCTGTTTCTTTAAACAGCTTCCATTCTTCTTTCTTTTTACACATTTCTCCAGGATGCCATTACTGAACCGTGCAGACCATCTGTGTGTGTGCACTCAACCTGTGTGTGTGTGTGTGTGTGCACTCGACCTGTGTGTGTGTGTGTGTGTGTGTGTGTGTGTGTGTGTGTGTGTGTGTGTGTGTGTGTGTGTGTGTGTGTGTGCACTCGACCTGTGTGTGTGTGTGTGTGTGTGTGTGTGTGCACTCGACCTGTGTGTGTGTGTGTGTGTGTGCACACACTTGACCTGTGTGTGTGTGTGTGTGTGTGTGTGTGTGTGTGTGTGTGTGTGTGCACTCGACCTGTGTGTGTGTGTGTGTGTGTGTGTGCACTCGACCTGTGTGTGTGTGTGTGTGTGCACACACTTGACCTGTGTGTGTGTGTGTGTGTGTGTGTGTGTGTGTGTGTGTGTGTGTGTGTGTGTGTGTGTGTGTGTGTGTACCAGCCAACATGCCCCACTTAGACTAGACACGGACTTTCAGAACTTTGCAGTAGCTCACGGTGAGTTTTCAGTCTAAAACATGCAGAATCCATTATTCTTCTACTCTCTGCATTTTCACCGGATACCTTTGGCGTCTGAGTCTCAGAGTACATTTCCTCACGTCCTGTAGTACTCAAGGACACACACAGTGTCCACGGTGTCGGCTGTGCCTCCCCACCCACACATGCACAAAAACACACCGAGCTCATCTTGGATTTAGAGGCAACATTCAAAGCACTGCTGCTTTCTACTACGCAGCTTAAAAGAGTGCTTCACTTATTTAGCAATGCACTCGCTTTACATGGCCGAGGCAGGTTTTAAAAAAGGATTAAAATTAATGCACCCATACTAGAGTTATCATGCCTTCCTTTCTTATCAAAAACCAAGCAGCTACCTCGCATGTTAAAAATAAAGACGATGCAGATGTGAAAAATCCTGCAGTTCCTCGAGTGTCTACTTGAGGCTTGCTGCAAAAGTCCTGGAGGTCACATACACACATTTCAGCAAAGAAAAGATGTTAACAGCCTGGTTCATAAAGAAACATTTGGTCTGAGTAGCTCAGTCTTGATCAGCACATGCTGTACGGGGTGTGTTTTTAAATCATTTCATGAATGATACGATTTATTCCTAATAAGGGGAATCTGACTGACGAGCATGCGGTGTCAGCTGTTTGTCAGGAGGCGATAACCTTTCTGCCCGTCACTAGGTTGATCAGAAGTCACTTTGAGACATCATTTCCAATATGGCGACCTGCACGGTTGGGCTTCAAAAGTCTGATTTGTGATGTCACTGAGACTACGTCCATGTTCATATACGGCCCATGCTTCAGCCACAACAGATGCTGCCTTAGATGACATCACTTGAGGCAGCCTCAGATTATAATTTCTCCTCCACAGAATGCTTCTTTAATCTTGTGTCGTAGATCTCCCCAAGACCTGCTAACAGTTTAAATACATAATGTGATCTCACACTGACATCACATCAATCTGTTTTATATTTACTGCATGCTGATTGGTGCTAATCTCATGTAAGAGTAAACTGATTCAAAGTGAAATACACTGTTAGAGTGGATTTGGGGGTCCATCTGTTCAACACTTTGGGATTCAAATATCTGGACAAC